TGGAATGATCATGGAAGTGGCTTCCATACTCCATGCTTTGGTTTTCACCCTCATCCTCTTGGAGATAAGGGTCCTCTCCCTGGGAAGCAAAGGGAGGGGGAGGTGGAGCTCCCTCATGTTGGGCTTCCCGCAGTGGGGCGCGCCGGCGTGGAGCAACAGGGCGTGGTGCTCCTTGATGTCCAGGACGTGGAGCTCCTTGGGGTGCTCCATGTTGTGCACCTCCGTGGGGCCCTCCATGTTGTGCATCTCCATGTGGTGCTCCACGTTGTGCACCTCCGTGTGGTGCTCCACCTTGGTGTCCTCCATGCTGTGCACCTCCGTGTAGTGCTCCTCCTTGTCCAGCAAGTATGAGTTGCAGTAACTGTTGGTTTTGAGCAACCNAGGGTCCTCCATGCTGTGCACCTCCGTGTGGTGCTCCTCCTTGTCCAGCAAGTATGAGTTGCAGTAACTGTTGGTTTTGAGCAACCAGTTGCTGCATGGTCTCCAATATTTGTTGGGGATTCGGGGCTAGAGTATCCGGAACAGGGTTGATAGGCGGGGGAGCAACCTCTTCCTCTCGTGGAGGATTGTCTTCGTGTTGGTTCATGGATCGAGTAGTGATCGCCNGTGGATTCGGAGCTAGAGTATTTGAAACAGGGTTGGTAGGCGGGGGAGCAACCTCCTCCTCTCGTGGAGGATTGTCTTCATGTTGGTTCATGGATCGAGTAGTGATCGCCATTAGTTAATGGATGTAATGTTCAGGAGTGAGAATTTTGTCGAATTCCCACAGACGGCGCCAAACTGATGATGCACAAAAATAGTTTTGCACACCACCTGTCAAGTGTAGGTAATAAATGCAGTGAAATCAATGGGAAAATTAAAGAAGACACGATTTATAGTGGTTCGGTCAATTCGACATACGTCCACTCTTCAATGGCTTCAGTTGCCGGGTATTTTATTGATTCAAAGGTATGGAGAATGGAGATACAAGCTTTGAGAGAGAGAATGGAGAATCAAAGAANACGTCCACTCTTCAATGGCTTCAGTTGCCGGGTATTTTATTAATTCAAAGGTATGAAGAATAGAGATACAAGCTTTCAGAGAATGGAGAATCAAAGAAGCAGTGGTCTCCGGTCGTCGGTCTGTCTCCTGTAAGTGTTGGTGGGGCGTGCCATTTATAGTAGTCTCCTAACATATTGATGCTACTTTATAGCAGCTAAGAGATCATTCTTGTTGAGATCATGACTTATCCTCAAGGCTACTTTATCGCAGCTAAGAGATCATTTTGGTAGAGATCATGATTTCTCCTCAAGGCTACTTTATCGCAGCTAAGAGATCATTCTAGTGGAGATCATGACTTATCTTCAAGGCTACTTTATAGCACTAAAAGATCATTCTGGTGGAGATCACGACTTATTCTCAACGGAAGGAGGAGGTTAGGGAGCTCTTCATGAAACGCGGTCAAAGATTGGACCGTTTCCTTCGGTGGTACAGATAAACTTTCCATGCTCTCCTCTTGATGACGTGCTAAGCAAAAAGTCTAACCGGTCTTGGACTGTCTTGGATTTGGTGGAATCAAAATGAGGTTGGATTTCTCAACTGAGGTTGGACTTTAACATATAAATTGGACNCCGTTTCCTTCGGTGGTACAGATAAACTTTCCATGCTCTCCTCTTGATGACGTGCTAAGCAAAAAGTCTAACCGGTCTTGGACTGTCTTGGGCTTGGTAGATTCAAAATGAGGTTGGGCTCCCCAACTGGGGTTGGACTTTAACACATAAACTGGACTATTTGGGCTTAACCCATCATTTGCCCCCCNATCAAAATGAGGTTGGATTTCTCAACTGAGGTTGGACTTTAACATATAAATTGGACTATTTGAGCTTAACCCATCAATATTTAATGACAATCGATAGGAGTAAGAAGAATAAAATAGTAAAAAAATATAATAACTTATGGTTTGATCGAATTGATAGAGTAAAATGATTAAACGAATTCCCGTAGCTAATTTAAAAAATATTTGGGCAAAAATCAATTATTGAGTAAAAATCTTTCGCTTTTTGTTTTAATTTTGAGAGTTGAATTGTACCAGGCTGCGGGAACATTATTCACACGTCACAAAGGCGCGTCGCTCTTTTAATTATCTCTTCGTGAAGCAGCAGATGATAACGCAACGCTGAGACGTCATACGAATAAGTACGCCTGGCGTCACTCACCGCCTCGATCAAACGGTTGACAACGACCAAGACCTCGAGAAATTACAAAGAAAAAGATGGAGAGAGAAAGAGAGAGTAACAGGCAACAACCCATAATATACATGCCAGAGTCCATTGATCGAGAAAAGAGAGTTGAAACATATTCTGAGTTGAAGATTTCCGTCAACGGAAAAATGGAGAAGGAGAAGAAGAGGAAGAGGGTTACGGAGGTTGGAGAGGTAGACGGCGGCAGTGGGCGGATGAAGAAGGAGAAAGTAGAGAGAGAGAAGGCGAAGGCAGCACCGTCGGAGGAGGAGGTGGATGAGTTCTTTGAGATTCTACGGAGGATGCAGGTGGCAGTCAAGTACTTCGAGAAGAGTAGTGACGGTGACGGTAACGCTAACGCTAACGATAAAGCTAACGGAGACGGTCGGAGGTTGACGGATTTGCTAGGGACGGAAGTCGACGACGTGACAGCTAACGAGAAGGGCCTTAACCAGAGGTTAGTTAAGGGCGTTTTGGACCTGAACGCCGTGCCGGCCGAGAGCAACAGCTTTTAAGGTAAGCTTGTTTATAATGCGCATAAGGTGCACGTTAGAGATGGATCATGTACAGTATTCGTTTGCATTTATTAGAGTATTCTAACGTAAGCCGAGAGGAATAATCTATGTTTTCTTTTTCTTTTTTCATATGAAGTGATAGTTTCTTTGTAATGGGAATGCTTTTACCTTGGTGAAAATTAAGGATGTAATTTTATGTTATTTTCAACTATTAATGCACAAGATTGATATGATTAAATAGCTATGGATTAATATTTTATTTCAAGTTCGAATATTTTTATTTTGTTGGATTTAAAATTGATTGTATGAATAATTTTTTAAAATTAGTTATATTTTTTAAAAAAGAAATTACAACTAATTATAGATATTTATAATCAATCACAACAATTTATGGTATTTGATGAATTGCCCGAAAAAGTTGTAACTTTATTTTAAAAATGTCTAGCTTAACTTTATAAAATTATATATATTTTTTCGTTATGGTATGGATGTCTTTTTGGTACGATATCAAATTTTCTTCTAGGTATAGTAGCATTATCCTTTCTTTAATTTGTTTTGTCGCTTGATAAGCATTTTTTTTACTGTTATTGAAATACTTGGGTATTGTCTTCGAGACTTGCTTTTTCATTTTTTTGTAAGGCAAGTCCCATCACACAGGGGCGAATTTACGGTGGGGGCAGCTGCAATTTTTAAAATATGTGGGGTACATTTAGAATTTCAAAAAATTTAAGGCATTGCCCCAGTGAAATATTATAAAAGTTCAAGGGTTAGTTTGTATTTTATAAACAAGTGTGGCATCATTTGTCTTTGATAGATTTTTAGCTGTGGGCCATATGTCCGCCTGACATTGGGATTTTCTATAAAAACAATAGAAAATTATGGAGTGATCCAAAAAAAAAATATGAAGCGATCTTGGCCGTTCATATACTTTATTTTTTAGATTTAATTGTTTTAAATGAAATAAACATTTGATTAATTATAAACAAATTTGAATGGATGGTCAGATTAGGGGATAGGCCAACACGAATCAATTCGGATCACATTCAATTTTTTTTTTTCCAAGAACAGCAAAATATTTTTTATTTAGATAAATTTGAGAAGCTATTTTTTAGATTTTACAGTTGATCTTGAATTAAAATAATCAATTTTAATATTTAGAATTGATTTCAAGTATCTCAAAAATTATAATTTGATCAAAAAAAATTGTAACTTTAATCCTAAAAGTTATAATATGACTCATAAAAGTTATAATTTTGTAGAATTTATTTATTTTTTCTTTTTTTCTTATTTGTAAAAAAATAAAAAAAAATTTAAGTTCGTTTAGAAGAACAGGTTTGCCACATTCAGACTTAACTTATAAAATTCGGCTCAATTAACACTCCTAATCATTGGAAAAGGATGTCCAAATATATACATCTATATATTTGTATCTATATTACTTATTTCACTCATAATTATTATCTTTAAGGCAATTATGTTCACAAAATATTAGTTAGATAAATTTTATCACCATGACTTGTCAGTACATTTTTTTTTTTCATTCAATTCGATAAACACAATTAGAATTCTAATACCATTGGGAAAAAAATTGCCATTTTTAGGTGTTAAACACAACTATCGAAAATTCATTATTTATTATTTTATAATAAAATATTAGAAGAGTAAAAAGTCGAATCAGATATTTTTGTTTCTTTCATACCTGTTAGACTTCTAAAATATTTTAAATTTCTTTATTAGAAGTACATATAGGTAGATAGACTCATATCTCTCCAATAACTCAACTCTATTAACGTATTTAGTTTTATATTTCTACAATAAATTTTTTCTTCAAAATTCGCTAAAATTGGTGGTATTGTGTCTTTATCCCCTCGACGTTGAGGATTTTGTGGTTGTGATTTTTGTTTTTTCCCCAATACTTGTTGGCCACATTTTAGTTTGACTTTCACGAGCTTATCATCACATATGGCTTGTTGGCCACATTTTTGATAGTCATGACATTTTGACACGTAATGGCTAAATATACACTTTGAAACATAAACATAAATATACACTATCTAACAACTTAAAATTTTAAATGAGTTAGTCAATATCATAAGATATTCTGAACTCAAATTCTCCTTCCATTGTTTATTAATTTTGAGTTAGATATTCTGATATAGTATCAGAGTTACAATACGTAAAGTTTTTGGTTCGAATTCTCTAATTTGTAAAAAGTGATTCCCTCTTTGTTTGTTGTGCCACAAATGTTACCTTATTATGACTTGATCTTTTCTTTGGAATCTATTGTTTTTTTTTTACCAAAGTCTTGTCCCAACTAATATAATAATGTATTATCAAATACCATATGAATTTTCATTAATTAGAGTCTTAAATTGAATGCTTTAATACAAAGCATTGATTGATTTGGTGTTTTGGTCAAGGCAACACTGCTTTTTCAAAGCAAGAGAATCATGTTGACCCCCCACCAAACACATGCTATTGGGAGAACAGATTAATAGTAAAGTTGATAGCATTATTGTTGAATCTGAATCGTACATAAGTTTTCTGAAGCACTGTTTTTAGCTTTTTGAAAAGCAATGACAGCTTTGAAAGCCAAATTACATAAGAAATTCCAATATGCTTACAAAAATGATTCCTTAATATATGCTATGATTCTTGCAAAAGATTATTCCATTTCCCAAATGCCTCTTTTTCTACAGTTTGGCTTTCATATTTGTATACACTTTTTTTGGGTTTCAATTATTAAACTTTGGGATACAATTCATTTCTAACAGTATATAATTTCTCAATTTTAAATCACCTATATGAATGAACCTTATGCTCTTTTTGGTATGATGGAAAAATGGAGAGATAGGGGAATAAATAAAACATCATGTTTAGCAAGAAATGAACATAGGAAACATGAAAAAGTGGATGAATTAACTTTTTTTTAAACTCACAAAAATCAATCCCTCTAAAATCGGAAGGAAAATGGATAGAAAGTTAATTATTTGTGTTGAGATGTATATATATATATACACACACACATTAATTTCATATAAAAATACAATGATAAAATATGTATTTTTATATATTTTTTAAAAATATATATTTTTTTTCTAACTTAGCCAGTACAAAAAAAAATTTAATTATTTTTATTTTTAATACTTCTTACCAAACACAAAGAAAGAAAAATGTATTATTATTATTATTTTTTTTTGAAGGATAAAAAATGTATTGCTTCTACTTTCATCCTTCAAATTGGTTTCTTATAAAAAAAAAAAATTGAAAAAAAGTAGAGAATTTAACATGGGAGAAGATCCAAATCCACCGAGGCGCTACCGGCACCAGAGAGTTGATGGCATGCAATTATAGAAAAAATTAATACAGTTGTTCTAAAAAAAACCCGACACTTTTATTTCTGAAAAAATAAAATAAAAAATTAACTAGTACTAATAGTCTATTGTTGAACATAAAATACCACAACAGGTGGGACCATGTTTTTGGACAAAGTTGTAGTTGCGGTGGTTACATGTCGTAACTAGGATGATTGACAAATGAGTCTGCACAACTGTTTAAAGGTAAAGAAGTCAAGCAGCCACTCCTAATTTCAGTAAAACTACATTTGACACCCACTACTGACACGGCTTTAATGCACTTGGACGCGTTCCGGCAATTGCTTGCTTGAGTGGTGTGGAGATGGACATGAGACATGGACTGAGACTTCAAATCCAAACTTCATCCACGAGTGTTGTACATCAACTCCCAACTCCCAACTCCCAACTCCCAACTCCCAACTCCCAACTCTAATTTGATTTCTTGATTAATACGACACTATACCAAGGTAAAAATGAGAGAGGCTCTAATTTTTCAGAATTTTTAATTAAAAATCTCCATCCTCCAGCTACATTTTTACCAAATGTCTCTAATAATTAACCCGAAATAACTACTCGTAAACTCTCTCACACCACCATTTATTTAAATATTAAATTTTAATATCTAATAATTTTTATAATATTTTTGTTAACAAATAAAATACTGAGTGAAAGAAAGTAAATGGTAAAAATGAGGATTGGGGGGAAGGAAATGACTCCTTAGCCTTATACCCCTCTAGGGGTATTTTAGTGATAGGTTCTATAGGAACTGGACGATCCTATTTGGTCAAATACTTAGCGACAAACTCCTATGTTCTTTTCATTACGGTATTTCTGAACAAGTTCCTGAATAACAAGCCTAAAGGTTTTCTTATTGATGTGCGTCGCACGAGATAAGATGCTAGTTTTATATAATTTTTTCATTAACTCGTGTGCTAATTTGTAACCAACGCATCACATTTTATGAATTATGCTTCATAAAATTGAAAGGTAATTTCTTTATTTATTTTATTTACAAAAATACTATTCAAAAAGGTGGAACACATAAGCCACACATAGAAATATCCGGGTAAATTTCATAACTACTCATTGAACTATATAATTTATTTTAATAACTGTTGTTGAACGAGACAAATTAATTTTAAAAGATGTTGTGTAATGCCACAAAATTCACAATGGAGACATTGACTATCTATTAACCATCAAACCATGAGAACATACTAAAATAATAATAAAATAAATTAAACATTCATCATTTCATATCTAATTAACTAAAATCTCAAAAATCAAATAGAAAGAGATCCTTAACGTTACATCCAAACAAAAGTAATTATTCTCCAATAAACTAATTAAAAAAAATATCCATGATATCTTGTAATCATAAAAGTTCAGAAACTATAAACTAAAAAATCATTCTCTAAGTTTCCAATACCGAATATACATCTTGGTCCTCCTTTGTATCCCATTTTACTTGCTCACCTAGCCTGAGGCCTTCCTTAACACTGAAATTTGAAAAATGTTAAATCGTAAGATAAGTAAAAAGTCTAGTAGAAAAACCTTCTTAAATCCAAAAATATTTCAAAACCATAAAATAGGTAAGCTTCAAATAACATACATAATTTTGAAATAAAATAGTGTCAATTAACGATCTCAAATTTACGTAATAGAAACATAAAAATTTGGATCAATATTGAATCATTCATAAAATTATATTTCATAACATAATATCTCATGCAAATAGACTGAATAAACAAGAATTCTTAGTACGAATATATCCAACTCACAAAACTCCATTTTTCTGAAAAATAATATCCTATAAGGCAATAAACTTCAGAAAGATCATATATTGACGCATCAACAGTGATGAATCTTAGTACACCAACTTTCAGTCTCGATTAACTGTAAACGAATAATGGTTGGTTTTCGCAAGACAC